CCCCTTGTCTGCATGTTTGTTAACCCCTTCAAAGAACTCTAATAGATTAGTAAGACATGATTTCCCTTTACAAAAAACATGTTGACTTTTGTCCAACAAATTATGTTCTTCTACGTGCCTGACAATTTTATTCTTTACTATTTTTTCGACTAATTTGCCCAGTACTGAAGTTAGATTTACTGGTCTGTAATTGCCAGGATCGCCTCTAGAGCCCTTTTTAAATATTGGTGTTACGTTAGCTACCTTCCAGTCATTAAGTACAGACGCTGATTTAAAGGATAGGTTACAAACCACAGATAATAGTTTAGCAATTTCCCATTTGAATTCTTTTAGAACCCTTGGATGAATGCCATCTGGTCCCGGAGACTTCTTAACATTAAGTTTTTCTATTTGTTCCAAAACCTCCTCTAATGACACTTCAATCTGGGACAGTTCCTCAGATTCATCACCCACAAAGGACAGTGCAGATTTGGGAATCTCCCTAACATCCTCAGCCGTGAAGACTGAAGCAAAGAAATCATTTAGTTTATCTGCACTGACTTTATTGTCCTCGATTGCTCCTTTTATATCTCAATCGCCTAAGGGACCCACATGTTTTTTAGCAGGCTTCCTGCTTCTAATGTACTTAAAAACATTTTGTTATTTCTTTTTGAGTTTTTGGCTAGCTGTTCCTCAAAATCTTTTTTTTGCTTTTCTTTTTACATTTTTACACTTGATTTGACAGTGTTTATATTTCTTTCTATTTATCTCCCTTGGATTGGACTTCCACTTTTTAAAAGATGCCTTTTTGTCCCTCACTGCTTCTTTTACATGGTGGTTAAGCCACAGTGACTCTTTTTTAGGTCTCTTGCTATGTTTTTTTAATTTGGGGTATACATTTAAGTTGGGCCTCTATTATGGTGTCTTTAAAAAGTTTCCATGCAGCTTACAGGGTTTTGGCTCTAGTCATTGTGCCTTTTAATTTCTGTTTAACTAACCTCCTCATTTTTGCGTAATTCCCCTTTTTTAAATTAAATGCCACAGTGCTGGACTGCTGAGGTGTTCTTCCCACCACAGGAATGTTAAATGTTATTATATTATGGTCACTATTCTCAAGCGGTCCTACAACGGTTATCTCCTGGACCTGATCCTGCCCTCCACTCAGGACTAAATCGAGAATTGCCTCTCCCCTTTTGAGTTCCTGTATCAGCTGCTCCAAGAAGAAGTCATTTAAGCCATTGAGAAAGTTTATCTCTGCTTCTCTTCCTGAGGTGACATGTATCCAGTCAATATGAGGATAATTAAAATCCCCCATTATTATAGAGTTCTTTATTTTGGTAGCCTCTCTAATCTCCCTCAGCATTTCAATGTCAGTATCACTGTCCTGGTCAGGTGGTCAGTAATATATCCCTACTGCTAATTTCTTATTATTGGAGCATGGAATTACTATCCATAGCGATTCTATTGAACATGTTGATTCATTTAATATTTTTATTTCATTTGATTCTACATTATCTTTCACTTACAGTGCCACTCCGCCACCCACACGACCTGTTCTATCCTTTCGATATATTTTATATCCCGGTATGATTATGTCCCACAGATTTTCCTCATTCCACCAGGTTTCAGTGATGCCTATTATGTCAATCTTCTCCTTTAATACAAGGTACTCTAGTTCACCCATCTTATTAGTCAGACTCCTAGCATTTGTGTAGAAGCACTTTAGAAATTTGCCACTGCCGTTTTGTCTGCCCTTCCCTGATGCATTGGATTCCTTTATATGCAGTTGTTTGTCTGCGCTGGCCCATGGTTTGTCCTTTCCTCTCCTCCCTTTCTGACTACAGCTTAGAGAATCTCTATCAATGGATTCTCCTCTAAGAGAAGTCTCCATCCGATTTTCAAATAGACTGTCCTCTAAGAGACGTCTCTGTCCAATCTATGTGCTCCTCTGCACCAATAGGCTTTCCTCCATCTCTTAATTTAAAAACTGCTCTGAAACCTTTTTAAACATTAAGTACCAGTTCCTTACAAAGCTAAACCCCTCCTCCCTACACCATCGTCTCATCCACGCATTGGGACTCTGAAGCTCTGCCTGCCTACCTGACCCTACACGTGGAACTGGAAGCATTTCCGAGAATGCCACCATAGAGGTTCTGGATTTCAGTCTCTTTCCTAGCAACCTAAATTTGGCCTCCAGGACATCTCTCCTACCCTTCCCTACATCATTGGTACCTACATGTACCATGACCACCGGCTCCTCCCCAGCACTACACATAAGTCTATCTAGATGCCTCTAGATCATGTATATATTTCATTAATACAGATTCATAACTCTAGGGTGTCATTGAGGCTGCAAAGCAGGAAGAACAAAAACCCTCAGATTGACCTTGCAACCTAAAATGCTCTAATGTGTGCCTGTGTTATTGTCATTTGTAAAAATGAAGTTAAAATTAATTTTGCTCTGAGGACCCCTTCCTTATTAGTGTTTTGGGTGAGGTATACAATGAAAGAGGAAGGAGTGCAGGGTTTTTAAGTAGGGAGGAACTTGGGAGTCTGATTACAGATTAAATACACTAGTGAGATATTGTGAGATACATTGTCACAAGGTACCTGTTTGATTGACTGCTTACCCATATGTACTGTACTTATTGTTGTAGGTGGCAGACACAGGAGTTGCCTCAAGCTGGTGCTTTTGTTCCTCTAGAAATGCTTTCATCTTCTCAAAATTACCTAGGCCAGATTTGGCAACCAACCTACAATCCAGGGATTTTATCTCACTCTGGTTATGCTGACAATTTTGATGAAGAGCCTCCTTTGCTAGAAGGTAAAAAATTAAAATATTAACTTTGTGTGGTTACCAGCTGTAAATATGGTTCTCTTTGCTAACTCATAAAAGTCACTAGAGAAACAGTAACATCCAGCAGAGCCACTGCTCCAATAGTGAGACTTGATATTGTCCTGTTCTTCTCCATCACTTCAACCAAGATCCCTGGATTCTGCAGGATGCATCTCTGTCAGGAGATGGATCCTGCAGTTCTTGCACACACCAAATACTCATTAGTGGGAATTTCAGAATCAGGTTTAGAGAATAAAAAGAGAGAGTGTGTCAAAGGTCCTTCATTCGATTCATTAAGGCATATCTTTGTATCAGGACTAAATCCAAGGCACATGCTAATAGGTATTAGGTATTGTCCTAAACTGGAAATAATATTAAATCTCCTAGCTTCTTCAAAATGAATACAAACAACCAAACATCACCTTATTTACATTTGTTTGACATATCCAGTCTTAAAACCAGATCCTCCACCCCCTTTTTTTTGTTAAATTCATTTGGTAAGCTTTTGTATAAAAACTAGGGCTATCAATCGATGTGCGTTAATGCCCGTGATTAATGCAGGGAAGGATTAACGCGTTAATTTTTTTAATGTATTAATCGCAGGTGTTAATGCTGTCCTGTCCCTGTGAAGTGCTGCTCCGGCGCTTCAAAGAGACAACGCACATGGAGCCAGGGATCAACTGGGCACCAGGCTCCTAATGTACTGCCCCTTTGAGGTGCCGCTCCAGCATTTCAAACGGGCAGCACATTAGGAGCCTGGGATCAGCTGGAGTGCCCTTGAAAGGGGCAGCACTGCATGGAGCCAGGGTGCAGCTAGGGACTCCAGCTGACCCCGGGATCCCGTGGTGATGCCTGTTGGAAATGCTGGGGCATTGTTTCCAAGAGGCAGCGAGGCACGGAGCCGGGGTCAGCTGGGGATTCCAGCTGACCCTGGCATCCCATGGTGCTACCCTTGGAAACGCTGGGGCGGCCTTTCCAAGGGTCAACTGCACTGAGCCTGGGGTCAGCTGAGAACTACATCTGATCACGGGCTTCTGCAGTGCTGCCTCGTGGAACACTGGGGCGGCCTTTCCAAAGGGCAGTGCTGCACTGAACCGGGGTCAGCTGGTGACTCCAGCTGATCCCGAGTTTCCACAGAACTGCCCCCTTAGAAACGCCACTGCAGCATTTCAAATGGGCAGTGCACGCGATTAATCACAATTAAATTTTTTAATCGCTTGACAGCCCTAATAAAAACTAACTCTTAGCTAATTGACAACACACAATCAAAATCCTTACTTGTGCATTTTAAGAAATAATCATCAATCCTAGGCTGTCAAATCAGAAAAATGAACTGCTGATTTGTTATCTGGTATTTCTAACATGGGGCCATGTTATGATTGGAAGGGCAGTGCCACAATTTGCATAGAAAAGTATTAATTCATTTTTATGGTACATAGATCATATATTTTACTACCACTAGGTGACAGCAAAACAATAAATTTTGTATTCCAACTTCATAACAATTTTTCCCCTTTGTATTTATATCTCACAGTAAGATACCATGTGAGGGTACCTACCACTAATATTATAATACCAACAAACATGTGTTATAATAAAGTTTGCATTTCTAGCAATAAATTTACTTGTTAAAAAGACTTAATGCTGTTTATTTCAATGGAAAACTTGAGAAAGTTTGTGCACCCTGTATATCTTCAGCTGTTAGACTGTAAAAAAGGTACTGTTTATTATAAACATAGTATGCTCAAGTCTTAATACTTGAAGCAAATAAACAGGTGAAGATTATTTCTATTTACAGAAATATTGCTGCTTTATAAATAAAAAATTGATAAAAATAAAATTAGACTTGTTTGTCACTGATTTAACATAATGAAGCAAAGTAAATTCTAGGCACATTCAGCCTGAACCTGCATCATTGAGGTTAATGGGAATTTTATCATTGACTTCAGTAAGAGGCAGATTATTGTACCTATTGTATATAGAATGTAAAAACTTAAGTTCCAACCCTACAAGCACCATGTGCAGTTCACCCAGTGACAAGGCGGTTTTGATCCACAAAGTCCCACAGATGTGGGGTGAGGGGTAGGCCCATTTCCAGTTAAAATGTATATGTACAGTAACATAATTAGAAATAGTATGCAAAATGTCAAACCTCAGTGTTATCTCTCAAAAAAATGGGCTGGAAAGATGCAAAACTTGGAGATTTGAATTGGGTGTTGGTTCCACAAATTCTGGCTATCCAATTCCAATATTGCCCTAACCAGTACTGGGGCATCACAGGAAAAAAGTTACTCCTGTGTGGATGTAAAAGAGACTAGTTGAAAGGCAGAAGCTTATAGGCAGAAGCTTATCGGATAGTCAACTAGTGATGCGACTAATTGTTTCCCCCCTTGCTGCCTCTATCAGAGAGAGGCATCAAGGGGAAGAGGAGCAGGATCCATGCTTGGGGGAGCCGGCTCCCCCCAGAACCGTCTCCACAGAGGGGCAAGGGAGGTAGAGGCACAGCAGGAAATAATCCCAATGACCATTCAATTAGTTAATTAATTTAAATTTAACATCCCTACTAAGGAGTTTGAATCTTTCTGCAGAGATTAGCGATGAAAACCTTGCCTCGTTGAAGTCAATGACAAAACTATTGACTTCAATGGGCTAAGATTTCATCCAATATCCAGTGATCCACAGGAATAATTGTAGAGTAGTCCCGTGGCACCATAGGGCATGTATAAACTAGGCAATTATTTCAAAATAAATTAAATTTTAAATAATAACTCCCAAAATAACTATTTTGAAATAAGCTTATTTCCTGAGGAAAGAAGGAGTATAGATTTCGAAATAACCAGCCTGTTATTTTGAAATAACAGGGTTGGTAGTGTGGACACCTGTCTTATTAGTTTGAAATAAAGGGGGGGTTATATCGAAATAAATCCCTAGTGTAGACCAGGTTTAGAGGCTCACAAAAACATATTGTATCATGAGCTTTCATGGGTAAAACCCACTTAAAGTGCAAAAAGCTCATAAAACACTACATAAGTTACTTCTGCTCTTTCTCAAAGAAAAATGTGTCATTTTTAAATTCCTCTAGCAGTACAACGTTAAGATATACCTCTTGTCAGATGTTCACAAAGCACGTATCTCTGATGTCCTCAGTGTTCTAAAAAGCCTGGAATTTTGCAGTTACTGCTGATCAGCATATTATTTGAGGTCCTAATTAATAAGGTTTTAGAAACATATCTATTGTAAAAATAGGAAAATCCAAATATTATGTGGACAGTGTTGGCAGTATTTTTGCTCTATCATAGAAGATTCAATTTAGTATATTAATCATCCCAGCTTGAAGTCAGAACGCAGTCCTGAATACCTGTATTATGAGTAGGTGGAATCAGAAGACATTCTATTGCACTCTTATTTCTTAGTAAAAAAACAGAGAGGCTCATTCTGGTATTTTGAGCTTATAGTACCTAGTGGATTTTTATATAAAGGATTTTAAAAATCATGCATAATTATGGAACTTTCCTTTGCAGAGCTTGGGATTAATTTTGATCACATATGGCAGAAAACATTGACAGTTCTAAACCCAATAAAACCAGCGGATGGCAGCATTATGAATGAGACCGACCTGACTGGACCTATGGTTTTCTGTTTGGCCCTTGGAGCTACACTGCTACTGGTACAGTAGGGCAGTTTATAACTGTAAAATAACAACTGTGTGCAGATTTGGAAGATGCTAAATAGATTTGTTTTTAGCATCTATTGAGACTGGATATAAGAACCTCTCTTTGCTGTGCAGCTTATATGTACAGTATTTAAATTACACCTTGATGTACCACATGTAAAATGTTTTCAGTAAAGGGATAACAACAGGGCACATTTTCTGGAAAGTTAATATATGCCTATATGGAGAGAAAGATTTTATACAGGGTATATGTCAAGGAGACTCGACACACTCAATGTGGTACAGATTGCAGGTCAAGACCTAAACTGCAGTATGACCAACTCTAGCAATTTTAATGTGTCTCTAGTGTTATTGGGGTGTTTTTAACTGTTTCATGAAAATATGATGAAAGGTGCCAAGTTATGATTTCCCCTACTGCAAAATTGCACCACTTCTTATTATTGTCCTCTATTTCCCTTCGCTCTGTCTGCATGTGGAAGTGAGATAAGTTTGGTTGCTACTTCCTTCTTTTTCCAGTGAGATTGAAGCCATCCCCAGCAGAGACACTGTGAAAGTTGGATGGGGAGCGTAAGGCAGAGCAGAGCACTGGGGGGAAAAGGAAGCAGGTTTAGAGGGTTGCCAGGGAAGAGGGGATTTGGAGAGGAAAGAGGAGGCTGGGGGGAGTGCAGAGGACAGTGATGGATTGGGAGAGTGAGGTGACAGAATGACAGCGCCCATACCCTGGTGGCAGTGGTGGGTAAGAGAAGTCCCCTCCGTGTAGCCAAAGGGGAATGCAGCTTTGTCAACCTTTGGAAATTTTTCACAGGTCACAGTATTTTGAAGGGATAACATAAGAAACTCCTCTGTTTCCATGATTTTCAGTGCTGGACAGAATTGTGCGTAAAAGCCTGGGAGCTAAGGACACAGAACTGTCCTATCACTGAGTTCTCCCTTTCTGTGTGAGATTATAACAGAGGGTATGCCTAGACTACAAGCCTCTTTTGAAAGAGAGTGTCTAGACTACAGCCAGTACTTTCAAAAAAGTGAGCCACTTTTTCCAAAGAGAGCACCCATGCACTCTGGATGCGCTTTCAAAAAAGCACAGTTTGCATTCAATAGCACCTTTTTTCAAAGGAACACTTTTTTAAAAAGGCGTTATTCCTCATAAAATGAGGTTTTCTGTGATCGAAAAAACTGCCACGTTCTTTCGATTTACTTTCAAAAGAATGTGGCAGTAGTCTAGATGCAGGGGAAGTTTTTTTTGAAAAAAGGCCACTTTTTTCGAAAAAACCCTATAGTCTAGACACAAGAGAGGGTCCTGTGGTAGCAGGAGGGAGCAGAAGGGTGCAGTCAGAGAAGAGGTGGTGACTCCCAGGTAGAGAAGTCATGAGGCAGCAGGAGGAAATGTAGGACAGTTCCCTTACCTCAGGGTTGAGGAAAAGGTAAGTGAAGTCTATAACTGATCAGTCAGAGAGGCATGTAATTTTGTGTGCATTAAAGATTAGCTTTTGAACCTTCAATTTTCATACACATTGGCAGAGGAATAGAGGAGAGTTAAAGTCAAAAGACAGATGAAAAAACTTGATTTGATTATGATTATTATTTTAAAATAGAATGCTTTTTTGGGATAACCTCTCATGAGTTTTGAGAATCTGACTCACGACTTTTGATCTGTTGCATTTGGCAATATTGAAATTGAAATGACCCTAGGAAGATATTCCAGTATGACACGCACCCTCAGTTTTGTTGCTATTACAAAATGAAACTTTGTCAACATCATTGTGGAGAAGGAAAGATTTTTTAAAAATCTCTTTGTGCAGCTAGAAGTCAGTACAAAAAGAAAATGTAAACAATCTTCAAAGTAGCTTAGTTCTCAAAACTTGCATACTTCTCAATTAATGTTGATAGTACTTTTTTCCAGATTTCCTTGCAAAGACAAAAAAGGCCTGTATTTAAACTTTTCCCTTTTTTCTTACTCTCAACCTTCCCCTCCCGCCCCCCAGCCTCCTGCTTCCCACTCCCTCTCTACTAACATATCTTTTTTGATAGCAAGAAAGCTAAAGACTCTTAAAGACATCTCATTCAACTATTGGAGAGAGACAAGGGGGCACCCCATTTCTAGGAAGGCATTGCACTGGTTGTTTATCAGAAAGTGTTTATCAGAAAGAGAGTGAAAATGTGCCCCAATTTTGAAGAATGGAATGTTTCCCTAGCAGGTTCACCAAGAGTGGGGAGCAAGTGGGGCAATTGCCATGGGGCCTGGGCAATTTAAAAGACCCAAGAGCCCCTGGCCACCATTACCAGAAATACAATGGGGCTAAGGCAGGCTTCCTGCCCTCTCTCTTTCCCACCACTTCCAGAGGTGGCCAGCACTGTCTCCATGCTTTGCCCCTCCCCCAAGCACTGACTCCGTATTTCCCATTGTCTGGGAACTGCAACCAGTGGGAACTGTGAGGGTGGTGCTTGCAGGCAACAGTGTTTGGAGAGCCCCTCCTCCATTCTGCATAGGAGCAGCTGCTAGAGGAGTGTGCACGTCACTTTTGGGAGATGCCTGAGATAAGTGCCAAAGCCCTGATCTCCTCCTACACCCCAACCCCCTGCTCTATCCCAAAGCCAGACTCCCTCCCACAACCTGCACCCCGCTTCCCTTCCCACAGCCAAATTCTGTCTCAGAACCTCACACCCCAGCCTCCTTCCCCAGCCTGGTGAAAGTGAGGAACAGCAAGAGATGGAGGGAGCAGAATGAAGTGAATGGGAGGTGGGGCCTCATAGAAGGGGTGGAGCAGGGTGTGGCCTCAGAGGAGGGGTGGGGCAGGGCAGGCATGGCGCAGTAAAAGGGTTTGCACGATTAAACAGTTGGCAACCCTTCCAGATGGGCATGTAGAAGCCCTAGCCAGAAGAGTGTGCCCGGTAGCACGGCCAGCAGCACCAGCCAACACAGGTGTAGCACAACTCAAATGCCAGGGGAACCATATCTGCACAGGTGTGGCTTGTCAGTGGGTCTGTCCCCTAACAATGTGGTGCTCTAATTCTTGGGGAAACTTTAATTTTCTGTTTCCTCAATGATAAAGTGGTGAATCAGAAGAATATTACAGATCCTAGGAATATCTGTGCAGTGCCTTGAATATGCAAACTGCAATACAAGTATCGACTATTTTTATTTTTATCAATAAAAAAGCTGAAGAAGAAGAGGGAGGAGAAAAAGTAAGAACCAGGGAAAAAAAGGTTTCTGCTTCCAGAGAAAGAAAGCCATAAGAGAAATGCTATTAAATTCTTATTATTATACTGGTGGGAAATGCTAGGGGAAAAAAAGAAGAGGAGAGAAAATATCAGGGATTTTGTTGGTTTTTCAGTTATTGCATACCCACCTTTTCTTTATAACAAAAGTTACTAAAATAGTATGTTCTAAAACATCATTAGAAATATAGACATTGTGATTACTCAGCTTGAGGTATAGAAATATGCAGCCTAATTCACCACTGTTACCCTCAGGATGACTACAATGAGTGAGTGAAACTGATAATGCAATAGTGAATCAGGGGCAATGGGCAAATTGAAGCACAAGCTGTGTTTACGAAGTACAATGGGACTCTGTTCCAGGACTGAGCCTCATAAAAATTACAATAATGCAAATAATACTGATAAGGTTCAATAAATAAAAAATGGTTCAAACCCATATGGTTTCACCAGGCTCTTGTCAAAACTTCTCACCAGTATGTAGGATTTCATATGCCAGCTAACAATTTCAAGTTGCTTGGTTTTATCTCCAGTATTTTTGAATACTGCATTGGCTTTTCAGTCTTGCAAGCTGTGGTATAATCCTAATTAAATAATTCTTATAATATCAATAGTAACATAATTTAACTGAAGACTTGTTCCAGTAAATAATTCATAAATTGCATTTTGTTTTAACATATTATTATGGAAAAATATGTAAATATTTTTCATAAGGTAACCTTTCTTTCAAAGCATAGGAAAAAAGGAAGGAATTGTGAGAATGACAGCAATGTTTGATTCTCTTCATGCAGGCAATTTCATTCCAGTAGGAGGAGTAACAAAGGGGAGCAAAGGGGTCAGTTGTCTCAAGGCCCAGTGAATCACAGGGGTGCAGAGCTTCTGGCTGCCACCACTGCTACTGTGGCAACAGTGGTGGCAAGAGCTCTAGCTACTGGAGCGGAGCACTGCACCATGCATTCCGCCTGGCTTTGAAGGCTGGCTGCCTCTAGCCCCACCCCTTCTGCCTAAGGCTCCGCCCCTTCCAGGAGTGAGGAGCCAGTTGCCTCCGCTGGTGGAATAAAACTAGCATAATAGACAACATAATCAGACCCACGGGCCTTGATTCTCCTCTGCTCTTCACTTTGTATACTCACATCCATGGAGAATGTGTATAAAATGTCACCAAATCAAATGTATACATTCATTTCTGCAAGTGGTAGCATTTTCAACCCACTTTATACAGGTGTAACTGAAAACACAGTGCCTCCGCTGGTGGAATAAAACTAGCATAATAGACAACATAATCAGACCCACGGGCCTTGATTCTCCTCTGCTCTTCACTTTGTATACTCACATCCATGGAGAATGTGTATAAAATGTCACCAAATCAAATGTATACATTCATTTCTGCAAGTGGTAGCATTTTCAACCCACTTTATACAGGTGTAACTGAAAACACAGGATGAAAGACAATGGAGAATCCAGGCCTAAGATCTTTATTTTATTTTGTTCTTTCCACAAGATTGAATTCAGCAAGTTTAACACATCCCTATTCAAATTCTGTCAAACTAATTGGGCCTGACTGATCTCATGGACAGTAGGAGTATCTCCACTAAATTCAAGGAAACTTCTTTGGTGCAAAAATGGTATGAGAAGAAAATCATCCTTTTCAGCTATATCCTCTTTTTCCCCCCTTTCTATTGCATAAACTCTCTGTAAATCAAATAGTGCTTGAAGTAAAATTTTCATTTATTTTCTGTCTCTGTCACAGTACAGTAATTTGTTAATCTTAGATTAAGCATCTAAGTAGGGCTGTGTCAATTAATTAAATACTCTGTAACAAACAATATAAAATATTAGTTTATTATTTTGCATCTGTCTGCAATACAGCATGTCAACTGATCTGTAGAAACTATTGCCAAAAACAACTGAAAATGTTAAACCTATTAAAAACCTGGAATGACTGCAATGGTAGTTATTAGTAATCTGTTGTAATTAGGGTTTTAAAAATATGCATAGTTTTTAGGTTAATGTTAACAGGCTTGAACAGATGTTTGAGAAGACGAAAGGTGCCTTAACTAATATCAGCCTGGTCTATCTCAGGATGGAGAAAGACAATATTCTGCATTGGAACTGGAAGTGTATTTTCCAGCTGGGGTTGGTGTATCTGCATTAGTTCTTTCTGAGCAATTGCATTAAAAATAGCAGAGTAGCCACAGTGGCAAGTTGGGCAAGATCATGTCTGTTCCTAACTTGTTGGATAGAATCAGACTTTGGGAGGCTAGCTGCTTGTGCCACTGGCAGCCACACTTCTACCTTTAACACACAAGCACAATCAGAGCTAGTATGGGTATATCTAACTGAACTGGAAACTATACCTTTTTACTTCTTATTCACCATTTCAAATCTGTCCCAGATCTGTGGTGCCAGCAGTTTGTTGCTATCTAATGCAAAGACTGTTGACTGGCCTATTGGAATAGTGGTGGCGGTGTAGGTGCAACTTCTGATTTTTAAGGGAGTTTCCCTTGACTCCCCTCACCTCCCCCCCCCCCACTTCCCTTCTTATGTGGAGAGAGAGCCACAAAACCAGAAGTCTGAAGTGCAGACAATGGCTTATGGCTATCCCTGCTGCTGAGCCAAGGAACAAGGAGCCTCAGACTATCGTAGAGAGAGGAGGCCCATACACAGGCAGACTTGTGAGTTTGATTCTTTGTTTTTTTTAAATCTCCATAACTAGCTAAGTGATAACAATACACATAAATGTTTAAAGCATCGTTTTTTAAAGGCATGCCTGAATAGTTATATTCTAACACTAGTCTAGTCTAATCCACATAGGTTCTTATTTCATGCTCATCACAATAGTATCTGAGCACATTCCAGTACAGTAATATGTTAAGCAAAATGACTAATATCTCTCATATGTTTTTTCTCTCATCCTGTTTCCAGGGAGAGAACTATGTATGCAACAGAAGGCCTTGTTTGGGATTATTTTTACTACCTATAAAAGAATGCGTGTGTGTGTGTGTGCGCGCGCGCGCATGAATTAGAACACACACACACATTGCTATATGTTTGTATAAAAAAAAACTAAGTCAAAGAAATGTGCCTTTCACTTGGATAGAAGATGGTGAAGTTTGTGAAGGTCTTTAGTTCCTGGAGAAGTTAGTTGGACTATCATGAGCTGGCCTCTGAGAAAGTTCTGTCTCCTGGATAGACAAGCTTTACCATGATCAGTAAGAAGTTCCATTGTGCCAGAGGCCCAAAGCTGATGATCTCAGGTAACATCCCAGAACTCTAATTCATTCCAAAAGAAGCAGATGTCAAAATTTCTATACTGCCCCTGCAGCCAGCATTCAGTCTAGTTGTTTGCAGCCTGAGAAGCCAAAAGATTTCATGAGGAATAGGTATGGAGTGACCCCTCACATCTAGAGGTGATTTATATAAATTAGAGTTGGAACAGCACGAGTAAATTTGTGTTATGGCTGATGCATACCTTGTACTTGCTTTGTGGATAAATTATAATATATAAGTCACAAGAGCTGTCAGGCTGTCTGAAAAAGAGCTAGAGAATCACTCACTAGGGGTGTGTCTAGACTACATGCCTCCTTCGACGGAGGCATGTAGATTAGCCATGATTTATATAAATTAGAGTTGGAACAGCACGAGTAAATTTGTGTTATGGCTGATGCATACCTTGTACTTGCTTTGTGGATAAATTATAATATATAAGTCACAAGAGCTGTCAGGCTGTCTGAAAAAGAGCTAGAGAATCACTCACTAGGGGTGTGTCTAGACTACATGCCTCCTTCGACGGAGGCATGTAGATTAGCCAGATCGGCAGAGGGGAATGGAACCGCGGATAAAAAAATACGAGC